CAGGGGATGTAGGAGATGAAACAGAGTAGAAAAAGGGGCACAAGGAAACTTTTGGGGATGATGGATATGTTTATTATCTTGACCGTGGTGATGGTTTCACAGGTTCGTACAGTCAAAACTTGTCACATTTTACACTTCAAATATATATATAGTTTGTCGTGTATATCAGTTACATAACATGAAGCTATTAAAAAGAAATGAACAAAATTAATTGCCAAGCAAATCTAACACCTCCTCCTTCCCATATAATTTGTGCAATTTATTTGTTGACAGGAACTTCATTGTCTGTCTTATAGAGAGTATCCCACATTCTGGATTTTATTGATTGCAATAAAAGAATTCTTACCTTTTAGAGCTATGTACTGAAGCACAGCCATATGTTGATAGTCGTTCAGGCTGGGTGACTGGCACATGAGGGCTCATTATACTATTGCATATTTTACGTGGTCAAATCTCCTTTTGAATAAAAAGTTAAAACAAGTCCTGGGTCTCATCCTAGAGGTAATGAATCTCCACACTTGATCTTAGCCAAAAGGCCAAGAAACGATAAGGTAATGAATCTCTTAAGGGTTGGGCACAGACATATGCGGAAAAGATTATTTTAAAAATAATCTTCCAAAATGTTTACTGAGTATTACTGTCCTAGATCAAAGCAAAGGACTCCAATGGGAGAATGAATTTCACATAAGATATGAGAAAAACTGTTTTGTGTAGGTGTCTTATTTATCAAATGAGAAAAATAATAGGTTAGGTATTCTTCAAGAGACATTTATGTCTTTGTTCGTCTCCTCCACTGCTGAGGAAATTTTCAGATTCCCAAATATATATTGTTTCAGTGCGTTTTTATTTGGTCTTAAAAGGGTGGTTGTAGCAGGGGATGGTGGCATATACCTGGCCGAGACAGGAGGACTGCAAGTTTAAACCTATTCTGGGAACTTAGTGAGACCCTGTCTCAAAAATAAGAAAGGGCTGTAGCTTGGTGTGAAGGTTCTGGGTTCAAGGCCCAGTACAAAATAAATAAATAAATAAGTAAATAAATGAATTTTAAAAATTTAGTGATTGAGGGCCGGGGATTTAGCTCAGTGGTTTCACTGCCTGCCTTGCAGGCGCATGGACCCGAGTAAGATCCCTGATACCAAAAAAAAAAAAAAATTTGGTGATTGTAACATAGCCTTGGTTTATCACACAGGTTTAGTATGATTTGTGTAGAGAACTCTGAACTTCAGTCCTACATAAAACTGAAACAGAAAAGCTTTTCTTCTCTACCTCTAGTCTCACTTCTATTACTTCTTTTGCTCCTGCTGTGATTTCCTCTTTCTTTATGTAGCCAGGGTTGTTTCTTCCAATATTCCCACTATCACAAAATGACTCAGAAACTGCATGATAAGCTTGTTTATACAAGATTATGAATTAGAGTTGTGAAGTACTCTTTTCAGGGAAAGTCAATTTAAATAGGGCACAGAATATAAATTATAGTAAAAAAGAAAGGTGAGTGATGGATTCTCAGACATCAGGTAATATATTCAGAGAAGGGTTTTTTTGGGGGGGTTGGTCAAGTTCCTTTCAAGATTCTTTAATATTCTAAAATCTTACTAAATAGGTTGTTACCTATTTACCTCATTGGAAATATATACTGGTAAGAGTTGTATACAACCATAGCATAGAAGAATTTCTAGCTATTTTTTTCTTTTTTGGTACCGGAGATCGAACTCGGGACTTCCCGCTTGCAAGGCAGGCGGCAGAACCACTGAGCTAAATCCCCGGCCCCATAGAAGAATTTCTAAGGCATAGAAAAATTTAGTTTTTGCTGCAAATAATAAAAAGTTAAGCTCTCCTAGACAGCTAAGAATATTTACTGGCTCGGAGAAGTTACTAAATCCAGAGGAAGGCTTCAGATGGGTTTGAACTCTTCCATCATGAGTCAGCTTCACCTCAGGCTGTCTTTCCTAATGGTAGCAAAATGGCTACAGTTACTATAGGACTCACATTCACCCATCACTCCAGCCAGAGTATGAAAGAGAGCACTTTTCATTTTCCACCTAACATAAGATCTTGTTTTCCATATGACTGGACCAATTTAGACCCGTGTCAGTGCCTATCCACGAACATTGACAGGCAATGGAGTAGATGTTTCATGGCACTGAAGTCCTTGGTTGGCTGACTACAGTTGTGGAGGAGTAGAAATGCATGCTGGAATGACCAACCAGTAATACCTATTATAAAACTAACATGATATTTCATGCCATTAAATACTTCAAATTAATAGTTCTTATGATGGTATTTGTTTATAGATTTTTGATATTATGACATTATAATTTGGGAGTTGCAGAGGCAGGGGGAATGCCACAGGTTCGAGGCCACCCTGAACTACATAGTGAGACCCTGTCTCCAAAAAAAAAAAAAAAAAGGGTTGAAGACCTGCCTGAGGAAAACAAAACAGTGTAAACAATGACAGGGAATGGAGAGCTAAATCAAAATTCAGGTCCTGTAGCTGATTGTTGTCATGTGAGAATGTGAGTCTACCATTACCAAATCTGTATTTTTAAAGAAAAATCCAAAATGCATATGAAATGCATATAGCTTCATTTTTTGCTTTTGTCTTTTTTTGTTTTTTAAAGTGTGCAGGTCAAACAAAACATATTCATGTTTTAGATCTAGACTTAGGTCACCACTTTCTGTCATAAGTTATGCTAGAATATTTTATAACACTTTTCCCCAAAGTGAAAGCTTTAGTCCTTTCATGGACCAGGCTGCTAGAATATGCTTAGGAGGACATAATGAAGAGAGAAGTGATAGCATACATTATATGAAGAGTGCTTTTTTTTGTTAAATCTTTAGCGTGTGCTTAGAATTGTTTTCCCTGTAATGAGGATGAGTTGTTCCAAGTTATCTTCACTGTATCTTTTTTTCCTCTCAGTACTGGGGAATGAACCCAAGACCTTCTCATTGAGCTACACCCCCAGTCCTTTTTATTTTTTATTTTGAGATAGGTTTTCGTTCAATTGCTAAATTGCCTAGGCTGGGCTTCAGCTTGCAATCCTCCTGCCTCAGCCTCCTAGAGTGCTGGGATACAGGTATGTGTTATCATACCCTGCCACCTTCACTGTATCTTATCTAGATTCCCTCAAAATTCTGTGTAGAACAACTGGTAAGTAGAGGTGTGATATGTGGCCATGAGATATAATTTTTCTTTCCTGTCAGCAAGCTGGTAAATGGATTGATCCTACCATAAGTGACTTAGCTGTCATGCTTCACTTAAACAGAAGAACCAACCTTTAATAATCAGTGGTAGCCACTGCTGTTTTCAAAGGCATATATAACTGGATTTGGGGAACATTTAACTGTTTTTGAACTTTCTGACTTTTCATAATTAAACAATTCTCTTTTCTTTTTTTTTCTGGTACCGGAGATTGAACTCAGGACCTTGCACCTCCCAGGCAGGCGCAGCGCCACTGAGCTAAATCCCTGGACTTTTTGGTTAGTTTTTTATTGAATGTTGATAATTATGACAGCATTGTCCTTTTATCAAAAAGCTTTGCTCCAGTTAGAAGATATCAGAAGGCAGAAATAATGACTTTTTCATCTGTTGACTTCCTCATGGTGCCCAGTGTAACTTTACTAGTACTTATTAGAATCTCAGTACGAAATGTTGCATATTTATTAGTAGATCCTGTATGTCTGAGGAAGTTAAGAGATGATTTGTGTTATTCTAAATCTAACTTCATTAGATCTCATCAAAACTTACAGCGTTCATGAAGTCAGGCCCAGGGCTAGGAAGGCTCTCAGGATATAAAGCTCAATAAAAGACCTTCTAGGAAAACACCTACCAGGTAGGGGAAACACAAAATAGATACTTGCACATTCTTGATATATCCCAGCATCTACAGATACTAAGATTAGAAAAGGGGTGTGTATGTGTAGAAATTTGAGGTAGAAGGCATTTTGGAGAAAATGTTACAATTCTCAGAGTAGATTTTGATTCTGGATGGGGAAAAGAAGGCAGGGTAACTGAAGTGGGATAAAAGGGAAAATTTAAACTACTTGTCATTCTAGAGCGAGGTAACTAGACACACTTAACTCTTATTGCACCGTATTTACTTATTTTTGCAATCACATTTCTTGAATACTTCCTATGAGCCAGGCACAATCCATTGTGGGAAGTATAAAAGTGAATGAAGCATGTTCTCAGGGAGGGTATAATATTGCATAGATTAACCTAAAGTTGAATATTTAGGCTCCCAAGATCTACAGACATAGTGCTAAGAAGACTGGGGAAATGTACAGGTCATTTCTGGCTGCAGGATCTAGGAAGGTAATCACAGTTCAAGGGTCAGGACAATACTTGTAGTGAAAAAGAGCTGATTTCTTTTTATTTCTATCTGGGTAGTATTTTAACAGGTATTATCCCAAAGGATAAAAAGCTGCAACGAGGGAACCTTGTCTTCATATAAATGCACCACAGTGCACTTTCTCGTTCATTCCCCGCAGGTTATTTCCCTTTTAAATCTCTTGGGTCTCACAGAAGCAATCAACAAGGGAGCATTTCATAAAGAGACACCCTGAAAGGACAAAGAAGAGTAACTGGTGAAAAAGCCCATCTTGAGGTGACATCCCTCATGGTTACTGGGAATTAAAGATGGAAATTTGGAAACCAGGTTTGGGAATAAGAAAACGCTCTCCCCAAACGGAATTATTTTAGAACTCAGCAACCAGGGGTTAGAACTCGGGCTTCAGTCCACCTTGCTCAGAGTTGGTTTGCAGGCGCAGGTACCCCTCTGAGGGTTCTTTCGCCCCTCCGCGAGTCCCTGCTGGTTCAACTCTGCTTCTGTCAGGTTCAAGCTCCGCGGTCCCTGGCCAACACACTGCTAGGTGGGGATGTGTGCGCGCGCGCGCGCCGCCGCCGCGGGGGCAGAGAAGGCGCTTCTGCCCTCAGGAGCGCGCACGCCGCGCCGAGGGGCCCGGACGCGCGCGCTCCCGGCTCACCACCTCCTCCTTCTCAGCCCGCCCCCTTCCTCGCTTCTTCCTGCCGGACAGTCCCCTTCCCTCCCCTCCTCTCCCCGCCCGGCTCCCTCAGCCCTCTCAGGGCTCTGTCGGCGGCGGAGTGAACGGGACTGGCCCGCTGCAGAGCGAGGGCGGCGGTGGGACACCGGCGCCCGGCAGAGTTGTTGTTTCGGCAGCGCCCGCGGAGACGTGAGGAAGTGAGGTGAGGCGGCCTCCTAGGGGCCCGAAGGTGTCCCGGCGGCCCGGAGCCGCGGGTTGGGCCGGGCCGTGCTGCTCGGGGGCACGGCGTCCGGGGGGAGCCGGGAGAGGTCGAGGTGGAGTCCAGCTCGGGACTGGATGCGGAGGACCGTGGGAGGACGGCGTCGGGCGGGCTCAGGACTGCCGGCCGCCTCCCGCTCGCCGCGGTACTCCGGGCGTCTGCTCCTCGCGGCTCAGGCGGGCGGGGTCGGCGCCCCTCACCTGGGGGTGGGGAGGTGGCTTCGGCGGCCCGCGTCTCCTGCGGTGCCCTCCTGTGCCCTCCTGACGTTGCTGCCGCCTCCGCCGCCGGCTGCTGTGCCGTGGCTGCCGCGGCTCGCAGTCCCATCAACCCCGCTTCGGGGGGGGGGGGTCGTTTGGTTAGGGTGTTTTTTTACCCACAACGCAGGCTTCTGTTCGCAGCCGAGTCTTTCCCTTGCTCTTCCCTTTCCTCCAATGAGCACTGCCCGCCTCCTGCTCCTGTGGATGTGTGTGGTTTTGCAGCCTGCCTTCGTCCTGGGCAGATTTCTACCTGCAAGAAATGACCGAGCTTCAAAGTTGGCCGCCTGAGCCATGACGAACACCCCGTCCCCGCCTAGATTGTGGGTGTCCAGTGCCCTGATAACTGAGTCAAAGTTTCTGGGACTGGGCTCGTACTTTGCACTGGTCGCCAGCGGTGCAGGGCTGGGCAGTGCGTCAGCATGTGGAAAGGGGCCACTGGCCAGCGGGAGGTGGCCGGGCAGCAAGGGGCTGAACTGACAGGCTTCATTTCCGATCCCGAGGCAAAGTGTCCAGGTCCTTGTGTATTCTCCGTGGACCTCTCAGAGTTATCTTAGAAAACGTACTCAATTTTATTTAGGTGGGCACTTGCCGAATTGATGGTTTCATGGAAATGAACTGAAATGCCAACCTCATTATACTAATGGTAAGGAGAACTTTTGCTTGGTTGACAGATTTCAGTGGTGTTTGGAAACATTTCAAGGCCTACATTTCTGGCACTGGAGGGTTTATGAAATTTTATTACATTTAAATTTTCGTGCGTGTGGTGGGAGATAAGTAGTTGCATGTGTTACATACAATTTAGAAAACAATATCAAGAAAACTGACTTTTCTCATAGTTGTGTTTACATTTGGTGTCTGCTGCACTTCTATAGACTGCTGCACTTGTGTACTTATAATGTCAGAAGATAGGGACATGCAGTTTGTGGTCAAATTGGAAGTGGATTTTGCTCCTGGAAAATATTGGTCTACAAGCTGCTAGCACTGGAAAAGTGGCCTCTGATTCATATATCCATATGAAACTGACGAGACTGCAAAGGAAAAAGATGAATTTAGCATTTACGTCATCAAACTGTATTAAACGTTCACCTGCTTAGGAAGGTAGCTAAGACTTTGAGTTAGATTGGTGTCTATAGTTTTGTTTTTTTTTTTGGTACCAGGGATTGAACTCGGGTCCTTGCGCTTGCAAGGCAGGCGGGGGAACCGCTGAGCTAAATCCCCAGCCCTTGGTATCTATACTTAATTGAGGATATGTTTTGATACTGTTAAGTCATCTGAGAAGAAATAGATGAGGATATTACCTTAGATTGTATTCTAGAAGGCTGGAAACAAAGTAGTAGATCTCAATACTGTTGGAGCAAATAGTAACATATAAACCAACCTAGAAAGGTGTGACTGTAAATGTATGAAGTTTCTTTCTCTTTTCCATCTGCATTATTTTATAAGTATTTTGTATGGTGCAGTTGTGATGTTCTGAGAATTTTTGTTTCTTTGATAATTGTTTCATGATCCAGATCATTTTCTTTTCACTCTAGAGGTTATGGTGTTTATTTTTTTAATGATGGAATGTTATGTGAAACAGAAGTTTTCATGTTCATCGGTTCCCCAGTTCTGAATATATGACTAGTAAAAACTTGTACTTTTTTTCTTTGCCTTAACCCAAAGTTGAAATTGCTTAATTACTGTATATTTATTTGAACTCTCAGACGGTATGGCATCAAAGCTGAAAGTTTTAGGGCTAGGGCTATAGCTCAATGGTAAAGCAGTTGCTTTACATGTATGGGACCCTGTGTTTGATCCCCAGCACCAGGATACAAAAACCGAAAAAGCTGAAAGTCTTACCATTTTCTTGGAGTAGTCAAAAGAAGGAATTCTGTTTTACCAAGTAAAAATATTATGTGTGGGAGATAGCCAGGCTGGTAGATACTGAACTCAGTAGCAAGGATTTCTTACATAGTATTGGGAATGTAGGACTGGGTCCACATTCCAGCTTACCATTGTTTTCAGATGATCATTACTCGATGTAGGGTGTTTGGGGATTGAAGTCAGTACCATAGCCTGTGGGAGTCTGAGACACACAGCTTTTTTCCTTCTGTCTCAACAGTTTAATGAAATGTTACATTCTTGTAACTCTTGCCTAATGGGTCAGCCCTGGGGCCTGAGATGACCAGTAGCCCAAGGCTGTTCCAGATGCTGTTCCAGCCCAGGGACTTCTTATGGGAATAGTCTTATGAACATTTGTCACAACAGACAGGGGAAGCAGAGAAAGGACAGACTGAGCCTGAGTTATGATAAAACATGCTCAGTTTTTAAAAAAGAGCCTTAATGTTGAGATTATGGAGAAAGACATTGCTTCACTTGACTTCTGGCTTGTCAGAATTGAAAATAATTCTTATGGACTGAGGATTTTGCTCAGTGGTTCCGACGCCTGCCTCTCAAGTGAAAGTTCCTGAGTTCGATCCCCTGTACCAAAAAAAAAAAAAAAAGAAAAAGAAAATAATTCTTACTTTGTAGTTAGCATTGGAATAGGGTATAAATAAGTATGTGAATATCAGTGGACCCTAAGAAGAAAGAGTTAATGGAATCAGGCAGAATTTGTATCTCAACATTGTCTTTTTTATACTTCATTTATTTTCATATTACTCTTATTCAACAAAGATGACACAATTGTTCGAGTTTAGCTCATACTGACTATTTTTTTGTTACCTTATGATTTGTGGTGTAATTTTGGGGATTTTCCTGGGAAACTTTTAGGCATACGTGTATGCTCCGTTGTCTTAGAGTTAGATGTGGACTAGGATTATTAGTGTACTTGAAATTCTGAGCTGTCTTGTTTTCTAAATAATTGTAAAAATAGCACAATTCCTTATAAATACTCATGAAAATTTTGGTTACAGGCTGTGTTGTTGTGATAGACAGTACAGCCAAAAATATATTCAAGAAACTTCTTCTCCCTTTCTCACCCAGCTTAGTAAGCATAAATAAGAAGTAAGAAAATATTTTTTTTCCCAACAAAAGCCTGTTTTCCCCAGAATATCAGCTGTATCAACTGCTTGCTATGCTAATTTCTTTTTGCCTGTTCTGAATTCAACAAGCACTACGTGTCATCCATGGCAAAAACTTAATTCTAGTAGGAGATTTTTAGTAATAAAGGTCCCATTGAGGAATGCAAGCTTGTGGTGGGGAATTTGACTGTGAAATATGTTATGAAAAATTTACTTTTTTATTGCAATGGTTTTCTCTGTACCAGACTTCTCAGTTGGGTGGGGTATGGGTACAAATATAATAATCATTGTATTTTTTCTTTCATACCATAAATTTCTTTTTCTTGTTCTCCCAACCCATTGTTAAATGAACCCTTGCTATTGTAGGAGTGTGTTGTGTCTTTGTGGTGAGTGAAGCTAAACAAAGCCTGAGAACCTTGACCTTGGCTGATAATTCCTGAAGCAAATTCTTGCACCTTATAATTTATTTGCTTTCAGATGATATCAATAGGCATTTGTTACTCTCATTTTTGAAGGGAAATAGGAATTATGAAGACACTAAATATGTAACCAAGAACAGGATTTATTGAATTGTACACATGGAGGAGGCTAGAAAATTAATTGTTAAATTGTTTTGACTGTGATCCACAATCAGAAATACATTTTATGTCTTGTTTCAGCGTGTGTGTGCACAAATACAAAATTAAAAGAAAACTTTGGTGAAATACTCTTTATCTTTTCAGGGTCTTGCTGAGTTGGCTCATGCTGCTTGTAAGAGCAGTTGTGCTTATCTCTTTCCACCTAGCCTCAGGTTCAGTGATACTGTGTTGTAGCTTGAAATTGGCCATGGTGGGGGAGTATTTACCCCAGGGAAGTCGGGAACTGGTGTAATTCTGCCCCCTCCCCATGGCATAGCAAGTTGTTAAATATTTATAGCACATCACTATCTATAACACATTTTAATTTATTATATTGATTTCATTTACAAAAAATGTAGGTTTTAACCCCAAAATTAATTTTACACCCAACTAATGAATAACAATCTAGTTAAAAAAAGAAAAAGGAACTAGTTTAGTCCATTCTCCTAACTTTGCAGATGAGTATGCAAAAAGCCTGAAGTCTAAGGTCATATAGCTAGTTATTATCTAAGCCAGGGCTCTGGACTCCTGAAGTTGATTTTCTTTCTTTCTTTTTTTTTTTTTTGGGTACTGGAGATCAAACTTGGGACCTTGTGCTTCTGAGGCAGGCAGTGGCACCACTGAGCTAAATCCCGGCCTACCTGAAGTGGTTGTTAGTGGGTTTCTCTTTCTGAACTCAAGCCATTCATTTAATTCAACTGAAGTAGTTCAATGGTGGCAAACCTATGGCATGTGTGCCGCATTGGGCATGTAGAGCCCTTTCTGTCAGCATACAAGCTAAGTTGTCCCAGCAGCTGAGCATTGGATAGCAGTTGTTTTTTCTAAACTAAAGCCTCAGTATTCCAGTTTAATTGCAGCATTGACACTTTGTGATAAATAAGTGGGGTTTGGGTTGCAGTTTGGGCACTTGGTCTTTAAAAGGTTCGCCATCACTGACTTAGCCTGTGTGAGGCCTTATGTTAAGCAGTTTGAGTAGAGATGGATAAGGCATAGACCTTGGCCCTGAGTTCTTCAGACTTATATGTAGGGTTAAATATGGCAACAAAGATAATGAAGGTAGAAAGTAA